CTATTAAAATTTTTTGTTTCTGATGTTAAAATATGTTTTTATATGTCCTTTTACAACAATAATTATGTCTCAAATTCCTTTTATTATTAAAATTCATCCAGTTTTATAAAAAACCTGTGTTCTTTATTCCAAATGATGACAATTTAAATCTTATCATAAAATCACGGAGTAAAGATAGATAAAATTAATAAAATTAATCATATGTAGCTGGATGAAAAGTCTACATTTGCAATATAATAATAATTAAAATCTTGATCATGTACACAAATAATGATTGATATTGCCAAGACCACGATAGCTGAATTGCTACAGCGCCCGCCGGCTATAGGCGAATAGGTCCTGGTTCGACTCCAGGTCGAGTTATATTTTTCGTTCGAGTACATTTCTCATAAAAAATCGTTCTGAGTTCTTTAAATATCATCTCCGGATGTTTCTCTACTCAGTAGATAGTTTGCCATTAACATCGGTCAAAAATTATAAGTAAAAATCAAACGCGTTATGAAAAGAAAACGATTGCGAACTAGCAACGCTGAAACTGCTGAAAACGCGTATATAGAAATTCGAATATATCTTTTTCTTTTTCAGTCTGTTTTACTTGTTTTTGCTTCGACCTTGTCATTATTATGTTTTTTGTGTTGCACCGATGGCGTTTGCTTCGGCTTGTTTCGTATTTTCATTCGTTTCGACCCCTAGTGTCTTTTTTGTTTTGCCCGTGGAGGGTGTAATGAACATGTTGTATGTGTAGTGTATCTCTTAATCTTTAAATGGCCAGATGCTTCTCGGTAATGGTGATGATGTTATGATGGTATGTAAGTGATGACTCGCGTGTCATCGGTATGCGCCTACGTACACGCTTGGTTCACTGCGTTGCGCTAAGAGATTATCTCTCGCGTTGGAATGCGGTGTAGAGATTAGCTCTCGTTGCGCTCAACTGTGTTGCTAGTGATGCTGCGGCTTATCTGCTTATCAGTTGCTGCGGTATCCGCGCACTGATTAGTGTATAGTCGAATAATGAAAATAAGCTTGTTTTTCGCTTGTTTTGTCGCGATTGCTTCTAATATTGGAATGTTCGGAATTCTCGCGACTACTGATATGCACTTTCTTGTTTTTCATGTAAATTGTATTAAGTTATTAGATTTGAAAAATTATTTTAAAGTTAAATTTTTTATAGCTTTTTTATAAACTGTTGGGTGCGTTTTACGTCACCTGTTCCCACTACAGGGATGCCATTTTATTGGAGCGTTTCTTACGTGTGCCTCGCGGTTTTCTGAGCCGGGTTTGGAATGTGCGCGCGTAAGAATGGGTTTATGCTACGCGGTCGAGTACTCGAGTGCGTATGATCTCTACACGGCTCCAACGAATAACATGAGAGATTGAGGTAATTAATGTTTTTAGCGCGGTGAGTTCGTTCAATTTAGAACAGGATGAGTTATCCAACAGTTTAATTAATATAACGCAAAATTGAATGACTATAAATGCAAATAAACCAATTTAAATTCATGTAATATTAATGTGAATTGAATTGTGAATAAGTTGTGAATAAATCGTGCATATCAGAGTATATTTAGAAGAATGAATATTTCATTGAATACGAATGTCACGAAGTTACTATTGTGAAAATACAAATATGTTAATTAATAATCTTGAGTTCCGCGGTGATTCTTCTGTCCACTCGCTGATTGCTCTCAAATGAAGGCTTTATCAGTCGTAGTGAACGATGATGTTCAGAGATGAGATGAAAAATACGGGTATGCGTTTACCTGGGTCGGCGCCGTGTTGCACTGATGATTTGATGTGCTTGGTTGGCACGCGTCTTCGTACGAATTTCTGCGTAGGGTACGGATAGGTAAGCGAGTGCGTACTCGAAAGGATGTTCAATGATTTAGAATGATCGATCTCGTTTTGGCGTCTAGCGCGATTGATGCAGAACCTAAACTCCGATCGATGTATTCTATTGCGTCAGTGCTAGCGGTCTTTACTTGGTTGGTAAAACCTGATTCAGCTCTCCCGCATAAATGATAATTCTACAACTGCGCTCACGGCTTTCGACTGAGAAGTGCGAAACCTGATTCGGCTTGTGTTGAGAATTAGGAATGAAAGGAAGCTCCCTAAAGACAACTTACATCTAGACGGATGGCGTGGGTTCCACGGTCAATCCCCCTGGAAGGCACTTCACGATTGCACAGCGATCACGTGGATTCACTAATGTAGACCGAAGCACTAACAAGTTTCACTCGGTAGCGTAACTCCCGCACCGCGAAAATTACTAAAACTGAATATCACTTCGTCGTGAAGCAACAACAGCAAACAGTCACCGCGATTACCGATAATGCAATATTGTGTATTTATCGAAATGTCGGAGTAACTACGTTGATGTGAGCACGACACTAAATAAATTACTAAGTATCGTACCAAGAATACACGTCAAAATACTATTGAGTAGTAATGAACTAGTAATGGTGTAATAGTGAGATACTTATTAGAGCTGTAATGACTTTTTAATAATTAATAATAAGAATGTAATAAGAATAATGAACTGCGCCCTTGACCTGCCTTTTATAGGCGTGACGGCCGGTCACATTCGGGGGGCTCTCTCACCGCTCTTCTCTCTCTCTCTCTCTCTCGTCTTTCTCACAGAGTGGGGCTTGGTGTGGGATAGCTGCGATGCACGCGCGTCGAACACGTCAAGTGCGTAGGGGAAGCTCGCCTGAAGCTGCTCTCTTTCTTCGCTCGCGCGTCTCGTCCACGCGTCGAGTACTCGCTTAAACGCGAAAATCGCTTGGTGCCGTTGCAATAGATTGACTTGTGATTTCTAAGTCATTGACCGCATGATTTTGAATGCAAATTTTCACCAATTCTGATCCTTGGGGTCTCAAAAGTTTTGTAATGAAATTCTTTTCCACTTAAGTGTAACAGAATTTAAACAAAAGGCTTGGTAAAATTTTTTCATACTATAGTACAAAAAAAAATGATAAAAATAGCTATATTAATAACGCTTATTGCTATATTTGGCGATTAGTAGATTAAAAAATAACTAAATAAAAAATCTGCTACACTTAAGTAGAGAAGAATTTTACTACAAAACTTTTGAGACCAAAAGTATCACAATTGATTAAATATTACATTCAAAATCATGCGGTCAAGAACTTAGAAATTACAAGTCAATATTTATAAATCCTGGATGAATTTTCATAATAAAAGGGACTAGAGACATGAATTTTGTTGTAAAAAGACCTAAAAAAACGTATTTTAACATCAGAAACAACAAATTTTAATAGCTATGCTTAATTTTCATGTTTTTCATTTATAGGCATAAACACAGGTGTGTCCCCTTAAGGTAGTATCTCACCTTTAGGGTACTCTACAATAAAATAACATCATTTTGTCAAAATTTGACTTATGAATAAGCACTATTTTGCAACTATATCACAAATTTACATTTAAATATGTATAGAAATAGGCAACTCTTGCTTATAATCCTCGATATACTACTTAATTAGCAAAAAAATCTCAATTTTCTAACCTTTTTTTTTTAATTTTTCAGATTTTCACTAACTAATAGCTAATGAAGTGACATTCATTTGACGCAACTAAAGTCGTGGCCGTCGTTGGCTCATTTTATGAGAGCAATGACACACGGCTGGTGCAAAGACCGTCGAATCAATTTTTTGAAACAGTGTTCCATTCTCGATTTCCATGGGTCATAAAAAAGAGATTTAAAACAAAAAATTTGCCCTCGTAGGTCGATCGAGGCAGGTGCAACAAAAGTCGTGGCCGTCATGGGATTATTTTATGAGAGCAATGACACGCGGCTGGTGCAAAAAACATCGATTCAATTTTTGGAAATTTTGTTGAATTCTCGATATTCATGGGTCATGGAAATGAGATTTAAACAAAAAATTTGCTGTGACGAGCTCAAGCTTGTCCGCCAGAAAGGCTTAGACTTCGCTGACAGGGCTTTCGTGTCTGATGGCCAGGGCTAAAAGACTCGAATAGGTCCTTGTTACCGACGTAGCCTCTCGCGTCAACAAGGTCCAGGTTGTCCGTGAGGAAAGCTTTGTCATCGCCGACGGAGCCTTTTACGTCGATCGCACGAAAAAAGCCCACGACGGCCACGAGATTTTTCGCGCAAGCCTCGACGAGAGCAAGATTTATGTTTATAATCCCAATGACCCCCAATCCCCCATGACCCATGGATATCGAGAATCAAAAAACCTTTTGAAAATTTGATTCGACGGTTTTTGCACCAGCCTCGTATTGATCGTATTAAATATGCCCATCGCAGCTACGAATTGTTGTACTCATGCGTGAGTTGACTTTCAAGTTTTTGTTCATTTCATATTTTCATACGTTTGTTTTATTATTACTGTTATTTTGTTTACTCTCTGAATTTTTTTCGACTACTTTTGCCCAGCATGTAATGGCTAAAAGGACGAGTCCAACACTTAACGTTATCACTGATGGATGTTTTTTGTTCAGAAAAAAAAAATTTATTATTTATAGAGGTGGATAATTTTTGGATCAGCATTTGTCGGGGAATGCAGGCCTTTTTATCAATTTTAATTGACTCTATTCGATTATTTTATAATTCCAAAGCAAAAAGCATTTGGCGGAAAAGTTGCTCATTGTTGGCCGGCGTTGCTAAGGACGTTTTGCGCTGCACGCTGTAGCGTCGAAAAAAATTCGCTGTCTAAAAAAAATGTTATTAACCCTTTTTCGAAATTTTTTCTTTCACATGTTACTTTCATCGATTATTTATTGTAAACTTTGCTTATTATCGATTATACCAGTGTAATTTTATAATCTTCATACGATTCCCTTTAGTTTGATGTAAATAACATATAGTAAATAATGTCTCTAACTATTTTTAATTTAATCGTGAAAAGTGTTCACTTTATCGTGGACATACAATATAATGGGTTAAGTGCATAACTGCTATAAAAAATTTAAAAAAAGATGAAAGTTTTATAATATTGAAGTAAATATTCTTATATAATTACCACAAGTAGCACAGAAGAACATTTCATTTTTATCCCGTTTGTCGCAGTTTGCACATTGTGGGTTTTCTGCATTAGCAAATTCTACAAGTGTCTTCATTAATACATCTTTTGGAGGTTCTTTTACGTCATCCGAAAATTCAGTCAACTGCCTAAATAAATTTAAAAATAATTCGATTTAATATTTTTTTTTCGAATTCATGATAAAATCGTTACGCTTTTTTTGGGTGTATGTCAATAAGAATAAAGCGGCGATAAAGGCGGTGCCAAAGTCAAAATTTATTGAAAAATAGGCGGTGGGCGAGAGTATACAATGCCACACTTCTCGTCACCTAGTCGACGGTTCGCCGACCACTTTGTCGGCCTCTTCAGGTCGTCGGTCAAGTTACGAAGGTCACGAAGGTTTGTTACGAAGTGTTACTACATTTACTGTTTGAAAATTTTTTTAAAAGTCTAATGGTTTCAAAAAAAAATTTATTTGAAGAACTTAGAAATAATTTCAATCGGCTTCACAAAAAGTTTTCAGAAAATGAGAAAGTTAGTGATATTTTAAAGCATTTTTCTTCCGAAACTGAAACTGCTTTACTCAGTGCATTTAATGAATTTCGAAATTCGAGGAGGGATGAATCTGTGAATGTCAAATTTTGAGATGATTGCTTGCAGAGCATTCAAGTATTGTTACAATTTATCTGATCCGAGCGCAAAGGTAACTGGGATTTACACACACAATGTCTCTTTGAAATGTTGCAATATTTTTTTGCATGCAATAAACCCAATTGTGCAAGATATGCAACACTTCATCTTCTAGAAATGATTTTCAAATTACCTGGAGAAATAAAAGAGGAGTTTTTACAAGGAAAATTTGTATTACGATTTACTCCATGACCTTTCCGAGGACTATGGAGTGACATGGCAGTACAGATGTCTGTAATAAAAGAAACAAAAAGCGCTGACAATGGAATTATTGGGCTAACCAGAAAAGATTCTACAGTTTTGCGGTGGACAACTACAAGAAGTATTTTAGGACAGTATTCATCTGTTATGTCAAATCGAAGCAAATGCTCAGAAAAATATGACGTGAATAAAGAGTATATCCACGAGGGATCAAAAAAATCAGAAATGAGTCGAGACGAACAACATTTTATTTTAATCCATGATTATGTTAAGAATACTATGTCTGACCCATTTTCGTATGATATTAGACAAAACATTTTAATTAACATGAGCACTAGACTCGTGGCTACATCTGAAGTTAATAATAGCTGACTTAATGCCAAAGCTAATGGACAAGTGAAGCTTAACGATTTTATTTCGAAAAGATTAGATATGAATAATAATGAACTTCAGAGCTTTTTTAGTGCTATTCATCAAAATAATCTAAAAACGTTCACTGAAAAAAGTAAGAATACTTAAATATTTGAAGCTAAATTTACTTTACAAGCAAACTCTACACCGCGTCCTGAAAAGAGAAAAAGGCTGTGTGATTCACAACACGTAGAGTTTGTGTAACTCAACAATAATGATTTATTTACAATAATATTATATACACTATTTACAAATTCTATATCGCAACACTAATACAAGTGAGCCGCTATACGCGTGAACGCGAATAAGAATTTCCTATAACTTTAACCAGCCTCGACGATATCTGCTCGGTATAAGTTGCTAGATCGTCGCCGAGAGCTGTTACTTGCTTTATAGTTGCAAGGCTTAGAGCTTTATGAGTTGCTCCGTGAGTTGCCAACCGAAGGCTTCTGATTCTTCATAGTTCGAGCTGGCCCTTTTATAGCGCACAGCTCGCGCCAAAATAGCCTACCCCGGCACCCATCAGCTGATCTGTCAAAGAAGGGATACGATCAGCTGACTGGTTGTCAAGGCAGGGATATAACAGCTGATTAGCTGTCATAGTAGGGGTACAACAGCTGATTGTGATGGTGAGACATCAGCTGTTCTTCGTCGTTGCTCGTAGCGTCACAATATCTGCTAAGATTGTTTTTCAGAGAGTTCTAGCTTTATCAAAAAGTCGCAAAGACGTAGATTTAAAAAAAATGTTAAGTTTACCGCTCACATCTATACCTTCTTCTTTATTTAAATTTGATGGTAGCAAAAGATCCAATGTAAAATCAGAATTAATGCCCATCCTCGAAAAAGACGTGGATTGTTATGTAACTAATCAAGTTCCTATTTCGGAAGAATTTGGTATTGAAATAATCGACGGAATGGCAGAATTACACCGTTCATTTTCTGGATTATACTTGAATTTTAACGATTTGGAAAATAATATTTTTCAAAGAATTTTACACCGCTTGAAATATGCAAAGGAAGTACATTTGGTATTTGATCGTTACGATGATGCATTGGTTAATCCGAAGCGAGAAGAACGAGAACGTAGATACGACAAGAAGGAAATCCCATAGATATAACTGGTAACCGACCATTGAAAGATTTGTAAAAAGTCCTAGCATCTAGTGAAAATAAATCAAATCTCACAAAATTCATATGTAGCTATATAAAAGAAAAGTTCCGTTTGGTCGATGAGCCTATTTTTGAACATAAAAAAATATGCGTAGCTGGAGGATTAGAACCTCGAGAAAATGCTTTTTTCATATTATGTATTCATCTGATAATTATGTAGACTAGCCAGTAGAATAGTCAGGGTTTTGTAAGAATTTTTGAGAAAGCAAAAAATATAAAATAGGTTTCCACAAGGTATATACCAAGTATATAGAATGTATATACCTTGTATTTACAAGGAATGTACCAGATATATCGCTGGTCCTTGTGAAAAAAACACAATGAAAAACGCTATGAAAAAAAAACCTATTTGTAGAATGCCGTGAAAAAAAACACACCTCTTTGCAACGCCGTGAAGAAAAACACAGTTGATCGGATGCCGTAAGGTGTGTTTTTCTTCACGGCGTTGCAAAGAGGTGTATTTTTTTTCACGGCATCCGATAAGCTGTGTTTTTCTTCAGGGTGTTCGATGAGGTGTGTTTTTTTTCACGTTGCTCGATGAGGTGTGTTTTTCTTCACGGTGTTCGATGAGGTGCGTTTTTTTTCACGGCATTGCAACGAGGTGTGCTTTTTTTCACAAGGACCAGCGATATATATAATGTGTATACCTTGTACGATGTACATACCTAGTAAATACAAGGTATTTATTATATATATGTTAATAAAAACGTTATAACGTTTAATTTGAAAAATAATGTAATTGTGATGAATGTCTTCAGAATTTCGCTCGAATCATTGTTATGCTCTAGAATGAGCTAGGAAGCTCCAATCGAAATTTTGCGACGGTCAAAATTTATTAAAATTTAACAAGAAATTCGAAAAAATTTTTTCAAATTTTTTTAGCGGAACCTTTGGGTTCCAGGAACCGTTTTTGTTAAAAATAACGTTTTTCGGCTCCAGACGCTATCGCCTTCAATAAAAAAATCTGAAAAAATTTGAGATTATGTATTTTGATGAACAAAATGAGAAAAAAATTTTTTCCATATTTTTCAAGGCTTCGTATCGCCTTGAAAAAATTATTTTCGTTAAAAAATGGGACTTTTCGGCTCTAGACGTCAGAGTTCTGTCTGAAAAAATCTGAAAAAATTTGAGTTTATGTATTTTGATGCCAAAAATGAGTGAAAAAAAAAGATCGGGCTTTGTATTGCACCCTAACGCCTTATATGAATTTTCAAAATTTTCAATGATTTTTTCTGAAGGCCTGAAGCACTCAAAAAATCTGAAAAAATTCAAGGTTGTTTAGATTGTTGAAAAGTAAATTTGTGAATTTTTTCAGATTTTTTAATTGCTTCAAGCCTTCAGAAAAAATATAGATAGAAAATGGACGTTTATAAAGGTGGAGGGGGGTAGGAACCCATCCCCCCACCCCATATGGCGGCTAAAAGCCCGTGGGCCAACTTTTTGCATTGTTCATCGTTTAATAAAACCCGCATAGTGTGGCCGACTGGGGTCTACGATGAACCAAATGAAAGGTTTTGAGCTCTAATTTTCAAAAACATGTTATAAAACCATCTTCGGGTTACGTAAAGTGCCGTATGACTGCAAAAACCACGTGACGCGTATTTACGCCTCTCTATTTTTTATCTCGAAAACCATTGAGTCAAGGAAAAAAGTTTATTCAACAAAAAAGTCTTAGAATTGATCGAGGAACACCCTCAAATTTTTTCAGAATTTTTTGGATTGCATTTATATATGCGGAAACGAGAGGAAATCGAATTTCTCAAAATCATCTCCGAAAAATTCTGAAAAAATTTGAGAATGTTCCTCGATCAGTTCTAAGACTTTTTTGTTCAATGAACTTTTTCTTCAAACTCAATAGTATTCGAGTAAAAAAATACTTATCACTTTTGTACCTAAGATTGGTCGGCGGATAAATCCGATGAATTTACTGCTGATCGGACGTATCAACCAGTGTCCGCGACATCGTCGACTTTGTGGTGCCGCATCATTTTGAATTCGGCATTTTCCACTGTTTACCATCGGCAGTAAACCAAGCATCGTAGTATGGCAGATCAGCATAAGTAATCGGTGGTCATCGTGGCAATGCAAGGAAAATAAAGCTGAGTATTTCACTCGGAAATCAATAAAAATTAGCGCGTTGATCAATTATTTTCGTTTAAATGTAACATCGGATTGCCCTCTTAGTTTCTCAGGCAGAATGTTTTTTAAAAGTCCCTACTACGTTGTACACATTCAGAAATGGAATGTAGGGGCGGACATTTAAACGTTTCTGGAAGGGTTTACAAACGTTTTTCAAACTATTTTCTGAAATTTTCCAAAGTTTCAAATTTAGCGTTCCAATAACGCTATGAAAACGTACCGTGCTTTTAGGGTTACTTTACCAAGATTATAGCTATCATATCAAAATTATTAAATAAAGTTTATCTTTAACACTGCTGGTTTTTGGCAGAGCGAACAGATGTTCATTTTCATTTATTATTGATTTAAAGAATAAACGATTGGCAAGGTTTATACAAAAAATAAAGTGCACGGCACCACTCAGTATAATGTTAATGGTTCGTCCAAATACGATATGTGGAAAAATAAAAAAACCATTGATCATTTAATAATTTTAGATTGATCATTTAATAAATCCAGAATTGAAAAAAACATATTATTTTTGGAACGAAGTACTAAGCGTATAACCGATGTAATATTAATGCTAACAAGTTGTAATTAAGCTTTACGTGATCATCCTAAGCAAAAAGTTAATGATCTTGGTTTCCACAACAGATGCCATTTTTTAAGTATGATTGAACTCTCATCTAAATACATTGGCGTATTTCTTAGCTTATTAAATTCAAAAAATAAAAAAATAAATTATTTGAATCTTGAAATTCCAAAAGAACTGTTTAATTTATTATCAGTTCAGATTCGAAAAATTAAAAAAGATATTTAGAAGAGTGAATTTTTTTCCATAATACTAGACACTACTCAAGATCAGTGCTTCGTGATTTAAATATGTATTTAAGAAAGTTTTTTTACGATTTGTTCGAACTATTGATCCACGTGCTTGAGAATTGGAAATTGAAATTTCAAAAATACTTCAAAAAAATATAATCGTCACCCTAGCACCGGAAGGTATTGCTTTCAATTCTGCAGCATAAAGGTACTTATTCGTGCACAGAGGCAAAAAGGTAGCTTATTCGAGCACGGCAGAAAAACAGTTGCTTGTTCAAATGCAGTGGCAAAAAAGTTTTGGCTCGATGAATTTAGGTTGGCAACGCAGCCATATATGATAAAATTTTCTTTTAACATTCAACATTCAACATTTAATTTAAAGTTACGTAAAGATGTTCACTAGTTTCCTCTCAGAACTTACAAAATTCTCCACAAGTAGCAAATCGAGTCAATAACACGGTGAAAGTTATTTGTTTGCTCGCATCACAAATGGATGAAAATCTTTACAGCATCTCACATGTTTTTTTTCTCTTTTTTGCTGAAATACAAAACAGAAAATATGGCTACGTTGCCAACCTAAATTCAGCGAGCCAAAACTTTCTTGCCACTGCATTTAAACAACGTACCGTTTTGGTGCTGCGCTCGACTTAGTTACCCTTTTGCCTCTGCGCGCTATTAAGTACCTTTTATGCTGCAGAATTGAAACCTTCCTGCGCTGGGGTGACGATATACAGATACATACAGATACGTTATAGTGATATTCAGATGAAGCGTCATACGTTCATTGCTTAGCTGATAATCTTAATTTATCAAAAGACTATATTCATCAAAAGATTCTGTTAAAGGGACACATCTATGTTAAAACCTGTATTATTATATGAATTAAAAAACATGAAAATGAAATGTTAAAATTGAAGTTTTTGTTTTTGATGTAAAATTATGTTTTTTTAAGTCTTTTTACATTAGAAAAACTCTCCTTAACACCATTTATTATTTAAATTTGTCCAGTGAGCAACTGACTTATCATTACAAAGCTCTGTGCTGCATGAATCTGAAAGGAATCTTTGACCATTTTTAATCCAAGAGGTCTTTCAATTTTTTGAATCACATTCTCTTCCACTTCAGTGTAACAGATTTTTGATTCGATTATTAATTCATTCTACCAGTCCCAGTAAGAGGTGGTAAGAATTGCTAGCTTGGATTATAACATTTTTATTCACAAAATAATACATACATTTTTAAATTTTTAAAAGAACTTCAACAAAAGCATTAGCAAAATCTTTTGTAAGGTATTGGTTATATTTTTCAATACTAATCATTGGCTTTATGAAGTTAACTCCAAAATTAAGGAAACCCGAGCCTAAAACTTAGGTTTTTAAACAAGTTTTTTGAAACTTCTACTAAATATTTAAAAGCATCAAAGTTCCCATAAAGCCTTTTAGTAAAATATCCAGCAGCAGTTGCAGAAAATTTATTTTAAAATTAGAAGTTTGGACTGGGGTACGGATCTCCTTATTATTAACTGTAACGGTTTAATCTTACTTTTTAATACTACGTGCGCGAAACACGGATTTTCTAACCTTAAATCGTCAGAAAAGCCTAGTTTCATGCAAGCAGAGTTAAAATGTATCGTTTGCAACTAGTCCGCGAGGAAGTTGACTCACCCAAGAGTCTTTGCACCCTCGCTACGCTCGGGTGAAAACAACTCCTGGATGAGTCAACTGCTTCGCGCACTTGTTACAAAATATACTATACAGCTGTTTCCTTACACGAGAAATAAAGTGTAGTAACTTTAGCTGTATCGAGTATTAAAATTAATAAAAAACAATGACTTATTATGATAATGAATCACTTGATTCGAACTCAGAAGAGTTTTCATTATTTTCATTGGTTTCGTCTTCACTAGTGGATTCGTTCTTTTCCTTAGTGAACAATCTCTTAAAATATTGACCAAGATATGAATTTAATTTAGTCCCTTTTGGCTTGATTTGTATCCTTTTTTTATCTCTTTCTGTCATATTCGCAGAATCGGGAATTAGGTATTTCAACCTCAAGTATCTGAGGTAGCAGGTATGTAATACTGCTCTTTTACGTGGTGTCAGTGGCTTCCTCCACTGAGCGCCAAAGGCTCTATTGTTAAAAATGTTAACAGTCCATATGGCCTCAGCGCATTTTTGAACAAATTAACGTGGAGTCAAATCTGTATTAAGATTATCGTTTCATACGTCCTCCGTAATGGAAACTTCACACAGTAAATCGATTTTTTGATTGATTCACCAGTTTCATATTCAGCATAATTTTTCGAATTATACGATACTGGCTTCTTTTTAATTGGTTTAGATTTATTATTCTTTTTTGTTTTTGTAAAATTTTTAGTCTTATTTTCAGTATTTGTTTTAATGAGTGAATCTTTTTCTGAACTCTTTTCTTCTTCTTAGGCAGTTTAGGTGCCTCTTCAGGTAATATTGTAGCCAAGTTATGCTCCTCATCCTTATGTTAAATAAAATTTTTTTTAATAATGTGGCTTATCTTTTTGTGATAACACATCTCGCTATTTTTGCATTATGGGATTAAATTCTCCCAGCTTTTTCTGAAATTCATAATTCTGCGACATTAAATCTTGAGGGGATTTTATGTATTAGTTCTTCAACAGTAATTGATAAATCATCATTTTGACTTATACTTGTATTGGTATTCTTACTATCTAATATTGATTTTTGGATTTTCATTACTATTTCTACCATCAAAATTAAAATCAGAGGCTATGTTGACGCCAACAGCAGGAATATTAACTACAACAACATCAGCAGCAGTACCATTAACAAGAACACCATCAGCAGCACCACCATTAACGATCACACCATCTGCAGTAGAACTAGATCCTTCATCAAAATTCACATCATTATAATCAAGAATGTCTTCATCGTCATTATCAAAGCGTAAAGTAATTTTATCAACTTGACAAGTATTGTTATTGTCATTGTCAGACACACTCTCTTTTTCATTAACATTCTTCACTATATCTTTTACTTGAGATATAAGGCCTTTTTGAAGTATTTTTTACTTCCTGGAGAGAGCTTCTCACACATAAGACTTCAATAACTACTTCTTTTTTTTTTCCCGTTTTTGGGTCATCAAAGAGTGTCCAAAAGTTCGTTTCGTTTCTCAATAGTCGTTGCTCGAATCCATTACATTACGTAACCTGAAAAGTTTATTTTTTTATCACGGAAAATCAAAATAGATGTAACAATAGATAGCTTGATGAAATCAAAGAACGACCAATGGTTTGGTTAGTTGCGGTATGAATAAATGTTACAGTTGAACATTTCAAGGCGTTATTTCTGGAAGTTATTTTATTTACTTGTAAACTTTAGAGAAGTGAAAAAGTTCCCCGAGACCCGGGCTTGGACCGCTGATCGGTCGGTTACAAGTCCAGCTCCCTACCACTTGAGCTATTCATTGATTATACAAGAGTTATCGAAGAAGTTATATTAATGAGAAGTGTGAATGCATTTTTTCTAAGTTTTTTTAATATCTTATTATATTTATAGTATCACAATAGAAAAACTAGTTGTACAATATAATCACAATTTTAAAACCTGGCTTTCGCTCTTAATCTGGATGCGTAGTAGGTTAGGATTCGGACTCAGCGATGACTTTCTTCAGATAGTCGTGATTTTTTGATGATCGCGAGTACCCGAAGAAAGTCATCGCAAAGTTTAGTTCTGACCTAGATCCAAAAATAGGCTACCCGGATGATATTCTCGCACAAAAATTCAACTACCTGAAGAAGAACTATTTGGCATGATTTTCACATGATAATTCACCTGACTTTTCACCTGATTTTTTCCAGCAGAATTATTCAATTATCCTCGCGGATCAGTTGAAAATCAGTGACGATTTACTGACGAGACCTTACAGATCCTTCGAGTGTTCTAGCAAACAATTCCGAAATCCGCGAGGATTGAACAAAAATCAACGTGGATTATTCAATTATCAACGTGGATCAGTTGAACATCCGTGGTGATTCACCGACAAAACCTCGTGGATGTTTTGAGCTCGTGCTCGCGAACAAGTCCAAAATCCACAAGGATTAAAAAAAAATCAACGTGGATCAGTGGAAAACCCGCTGTGATTGCATTTTTTTCAAACCATGATTGATCCTCGCGGAATCCCTCTATAATCTATGTGGAATCCCTGTACGATCCACGTGGATAACTAATCCTCGTGGATTTCTACGTGGATATTCATGCAATTATTTTCAACTGGAAATAAATGCAATTCCTTCAAATCTCCAACAAACAGCAAAAAAACTCGCTCTTTTGAACCCTTTCATTTCTAGGGACAACTAAAAACATTTTATGTTCCTCTATAACACATCTTTTCCCAAACTTTCTTGAAAATTCACTGCTCACGCTTTGAATATTCATTATTAAATATGTTTAAAATTTCACCTAAATTATACTCACCCACAAATTGGACAACATATTTTAATCTGTGTACCATCTGAAATACAATTAAAGCAGAATGTATGGTAGCAAATCAGAAGACGTGGATCTTTGTAGTAATCATGGCATAAGCCACAAATTAAAGGATTTCTAGGAATGTCTTCGTCTATTTCAGGTTTATTTAGATAACTTTGACCCATCGGCATTTCAAAAGATTGCTTGATAGAACTGGCCATCGTATTATAAAATTTTTCTATAAATAAAAAACAAGATAACGAATAAATTATTTTTACTATTATTTTGTAAAATTATTTATCAAATTAGTAAGATAAAAAATCTTTCATGGTAAATCATTTTTTTTGTTTCTTTCTTTTAGTTAAGTTCTATCTTTATTACTGTACGAGTCTCTATGCAGAGCTGAAATTAAAATAATATTTATACAGCATTATAAAAAAGGGACATTTTAATTTGTTGTGATCTTAGAAATAGAATTGATTTCATACTAGATGTATGAAACGATCAGGATGATGCACAACGTTATATTTTACAATTCAAAAGAACAGTTTAATGAACTATTTATATGTGATAAAAAAACAGGACAATCAGTCAAGTATATTATAAAAAAACAAAATTAATTTAGAATAATAAAAATGAAAAAAATCTGTTCGATAAGAACTACTGCAAGAACTACTGCAACGGTTTTTATACAAATGACTTTTTTTTATTTTAAGGTGGAATTCCTATTGAAAATAAAAAAGGATCAATTTTTGTCCTTTAAAACGTTCTTTAACACGATAAAAAATAAAAATATTCGAATAAAATTTTAGAACGAAATTTATAAAGGAAATCAAGTTACGGCCGATTCTGCGAAGCGTCTAGCGTGTTTGATACCGACGTGCTAGTACTGAAAGATGACGCTTCGCAGAACAGAGCAGAAAGATGCCATTTGGCGCTTCGAGCTAAAACTATTAGTCCGATCATTATGTTCCATAACTCTTCTGAATTGTTACAACTTTCTCGAGGAACTAAACCGACTTAGACTCAAAAGTCGAAAAATCATCCCTAATTTTTTTGATGTGAAACATCTTTATCGGCGTTTGGCATGAAGAGTAAGCCAGTAAAAAAAGAGCGTCCATCCGTCCGTCCGATCGCGCGCAACTTTGGTAGTATATAGGGGAGAGACGGGCATGAGTGCCACCAAAAATTCAAACTTGCGTCCAGAAGCGAATTTTTAAAATTTTTCAAATCTGAAACTATCATAGCAAACGTTATATACCAATAACCTAGCATTAAGTATTGTAAAATTTAAATATAATAATTTAAAATGATGAAAATAAGACCGGAAAACGAACACAGAGACAAGCAAGAGCTGTCGCGTGAATGTATGTGTGAATGTGCGCAGCCGACATGCGCCGACGCGTTAGATCAGGCCCCCATACGTATGTATTTCGCGTATATGCACTCGCGTGTGTGCGAGCCGAATACAGAGAAGGCACGATACACGCACAGGGGGTGAAACCCGCGGCCTTCTTCAAAATGATACAAAGAAAGAAACATAGTCGCACGCTCAACCGCCGGTTCCCTTATCACCGGGAGTTTGACCTGCGGTTCACTTTAGAATCACAGCATGACCGAAGCTCCGAGAAGATTTGCCCAAATATGGGTAAATAGAACGGCACATGCTCGACCCGACGACACGGATCAACTAGCAACGAAAAAACAAGTAGCTTAGCTATTGAGGGAAAAACCACCAAGAGGTGCCCCCACCAAAAAGATGCATGATTTAGTTAGTATATAAGGAGCATAAAAATTTGGCCTCTAGGCAGATCATTTTATACAGTCGAGTAGGGCAAAGCTCTGGACAGATCATTCTTTACAGTCGAGTAAGGCGAAGCTCTGTGCGCGAACATTCGATATTTTATAATAGCGACTCCACGATATATTAAACGGACTTGAAATAAAACATACTAATGAATAACTATGAATTAAACATACTTGTATTTCGCGAGAAGCAATAGAAAGTTATTAATAGCGCACTAGCTTTTGTAACTGTAATTATACAGCGCGAGTGTCGAAGTGACTTATTGTATTCGCGAACGGTAAAGCTCGTGCGAGTGCTTGCACCAGCCGTCTACCCGTCGGACAAGCAGCAGCCAAGCCGGCGCCACCACCAACCAGGCAGCCGCTACCAGCTAGGTAGCCGTGACCGACGGCCAAGCAGCAGCAAAGCGACATCCTAGCAGCAGCCTAGCAGCAGCGACCAGGCGGCACTACCAGCCTTGAAGATCGACAATCATTGGCCGAACTAGCTTGTAAGTTATGTTTTAATAGTATTAAATTTTTGTATGTTCCCTCCCTTCTCAGTCAACAACAGAAACAATATTTAATTAAAAATAATAAAGTTATTACCCAATGCCAACGGGTATATAACACAAAGGAGAACTCAAGCTCTATAATATATATTAAAGTTGGAAAGCTAAAATGAATTTTCAATTTTTTATTGAATTTAAAAAAATTTGTCACAATTGCCCGTCTTTTTTCAATGGCCAGGAATTGTGGCATAGGAGTCGGGCACGAGTGTCAAGTATAATACACAAGCAAACAAAAATTATATAAAATTAGAAACAACTGAGATTTTAAATAATCCTTTAGTGGTATTTCTTTTTTTTCAAAAAGATTATTAGAAGCAAGTATGTCAGTTTGGACCCTGCAGTAATAATTAAACTTACTGTAATATAGTGACTACTTTGAAGCGACACCTACTAATTGAGTCAGATAGCTCTCTCGCATGTACCGCGCTAAGCTCAGAATTTTTCGGAACGCTGACCTGAACGCGCATACTCTAACCTTTATTATACCTATTATATTAATAAATTATTTTACTTAAAACTAATCTAGTGTGATCATTTAATCGATATACGGGATATCACACTTACCTATGTGTAAACAACTATGAACCTATGATTACCTATTATGTTAATGAAATCAGAAACTTTTTGACAAGTACACAAGCAATTAAAAACTATCAACGCTTTGCAACTCATTTTCAAATTCAAATAATTTTTCTTTGTAACTCAGACTATATTTGGTCAACCTTGGAATATAACACTTTATTTTAATTTAATTTTCTTCCTCCAGCGCATCTTCTTCTCTTCCTCCTCCTTTTTGCTGATGTAAATTCTTAGTTACTACTTGGAGAAAGTCATCGCCGAGTTCGGATTTCGACCTAGTGCATGAGCAGGCTACTCAGGACGATATTTGAGCGAAAGCATCACGACCTTCCGAAGAAAGTCATCGTCGAGTCCGTATTCTGATCTAGTGCGTCAAGCTGGCTACCCGGGACGATATTTGTGCGAAAACATCGCGACTTTCCGGAGACTGTGATCACCGAGCCCGGATTTTGACCTAGTGCGCCGAGCGGGTTACGCGAGATGACATTTCCGCTCCAAGCAGTCATTAGGGTAATATTCTCGCTTAAAACCTGTAATTTCGTGGAAAAAGTCATTTCGAGTTTCGAGTTTGATCTGGTGTCCCGACCGGGCTACCCAGGATAATTGCGAGAATCTTGATGTCGAGAGAAAAATCTACATGTATCGTTTAAAACTCATACATATCAAATCGATGCGCAGCATCTATACATAGATACATTTAGCCTTATTAATCAATCAAATCGATGATATGAAGTTGGCCGGAAAACTACGTGAGACAGCGTGAGACCACGTTTTGCGTGAGACCTTTTTTTCGTCGGGGATTTTTTCTTTTGTCATTCGTATTTAGATAATACTGCGTTTTTCGGAGACTATGAATACACTATTTTCGGTCACTTTTTACGAGGAATCGATTTACCGAATCAGAATTATCGTATGTTTTATAGATTCCAAAAAATAACGTTAGGTTGTTTTCACGGGTCCGGAAATCGCGATTCTCGCGAATATGAGGAGCGTGGAGTGACGCTGCTCTCGTCTGCCATACTTGCCATTCGGACCGTGACACGCGCTTCTCGATTATCATACAAGAAATACATGTACGTGTGAAAATAATATAATTTTTTACTCAAAAACAATTAAGTTTAGAGAAAATATTTGAAAAACAAGAAAGTCTCAAAATTTATTGAGAAACATTCTCAAATATTTTCAGAATTTTAAGAAATTTTTTTAAGAGATTGGAATTGTTGGCAAATTGAAAATCGTCTCCGAAAATTCTGAAAAAATTTGAGGGGTTTTCTTGATAAATTTTAAAACTTTCTTGTTTTTTAAACTTTTTCTCTAAGCTCAATGGTTTTCAAGATAAAAATCAAGTATGGTTTTTTATAAACATTTCACTTGAGGGACGCCATTTTTTCTGAAAAAGTAGATAAAAAAATTTGGGAAAATTCGCTATGATACTTCTATACCCATGATTACCTCTGATCATATTTATATCTTGAGTTTCATACTGCAACACTTCGAAAAAATTACTTAAAGTTGTGTAGCACCATACTGCGTATGACGTTACAATTGCGTACTCAACCCCGCGAATTTATACAATTTGAGCGGAAGAAAGAAAAGCGCAACACAAGAAGACACGTATAAACACACATACATACACACTGAATAGACGACACACACGAAGCCAAGCATAGCAGCCGATACTGATACATGATCGATAATTCGCGGCCTTAAGGATGCGCACGCAGTCCTTCCCAATGTGCGAGAGTCGCGAGCCGAAACAGCAGACGAAAAGAGTCACTCCTATTATTATCGCTGCAGAGTGCAGACATGTAAGCACAAAAAGATAAAACGAGCTATGGCGATTGTGTGTGCATGTCGGACATAACCAAGACGACGAGACGAAGCGGCCCAAACCAACCCGAAGAAGATGAGACGTCCTGAACAACTTGTGCAAGAAGAAAGAAGATTTTTTTTTTTTTTTTAACATCCTTTATTTTATACAATCTGTCAATCTAATGACAATAAGTATAATTTTTCGTATAAATGTGGTGTAGTGTGAGAGATTAAATCAAGGGTTCAGCGGGCATCCAGTGATGCCGCGCCGAGTAGTTATAGCTTTTTCCAAGGTACAATACTCAGGGAATTATACAAGACTATGAGAAGATGTAGCTCAGTCATTATGGTGTGTTTATGTACAAGAATAGGTTTTTCTGCTTTTTTAATCTTGATTGTTGAGTTTCGTTCTTGCTGGTCAGTTCTTTCGCAAGCTGGTTAGGATGGTTTAGCAGCCTCGCTTTATACCTTGTATAAAAGCGACGAATTT